AGGCGGTGGAGGGCCTCAGGGGGGCTCAGGCCGGAAAACCGAAGAAGGTGGAGCCCTCAATGTGCTCAGACACAGAGACTCGGGCCTGTGGGCGATCGGGGTGAGTTTATGATAAATATAGACAAGACGGGAGTGAAATGGGAGGCAGTCGGCTCCAATGAAAGAGTGAAATGTGATTTTTAAAAGGCGCTGTAAGGATCATAATTCCAGCGGCTCCATTCCGGGCAGCGCGCCCGTAGTCATCGCCCCCCCAGCGCGGGAACAGACGCGTGGGAATCGGGGAGGGGCGAGAGGGCGTGTGGATTTCCCCGTGTCTGTCGTGGGCACGTGGGGAGGAAATGCGAGAGGAAACAACCCAAACAACCCTACCTGGCAGCCTCTCTGGGGAACGATTTGGATTTGTCCAATCAGGTAAAAGCACCACTTGGGTCAGAAAAATCTTCGTATATGGAGAAACCTGTTCAGAAATATTCTGCTTGTCAAGTTCGCGATGTCATGGGTGGCCTGGGAGGGGACAGGAGAGGGGCACCTGGGGGCGGAGGCTGCAAGGGCCCAGGCAGGGAGTCTGGCAGCCTGCGGGCCCCGCGGTGCCCAGGTCTGGACAGCAGAGGGCGCTCTGATTGGGGGGGGCAACTGTGAATGTTGGGGAATTTAGAGGGACACTTCAGGGCAGGCATTCCGAGGATGGAGTGCGCTTTGGGGAGACGGACCCCGGAGAGCCAGGACTCGGGAGCACAGTGAGGGCCTGGCCCCGAGAACAGGCCGGCTCCGGGGACACCGGGGCCAAGGCCCTTCCAGGAACAGATTTTGGGGTTTGCATAAATAGCGCGTGGTTTCGTAGCGTTAGAACAGTGGGCCTTTGTCGCAACCACTCGGAAGTGAAGCCGCGATGCGTCTGCCAGGTGGGTTCGCTTCCGACCGTAACTCCAGTGGGTTTAGAAGTTGACGCGGGTCCGCGGGTTCACCGGCATAATTACACTCAGATAGCTTTTCCTGATACTTAATGCGGTTTTAATGGAATTAATGTGCTGTGTCAACAAATACGTTGTTTTTATTGCGCAAAGAGGAGGCTATTAAAAGGAGAGAATGGAAATGATTTGCATGTGGTTTATGTAACCTTCTTTCCCAAACTGGGCCGCGTACCTGCCCGGTTGGCATTCCCTTTCCCATGGTGGGTTGAGAGGAGAGGGCAGGAGGCTCTTAGATGCCCTTGGGCCCTGGCTGGACTTCACCTTTGCGACTTGCGTGTGTGGCTTAAACCCCCAGGGCTCCCCGGGAGCAGCAGCCCCCAGCACCGTGGGCCCCGTCGCAGGCTGGGGCCTGGCCTCCTGCCCCCTTCCTCAGCCCTGCGGCCGTGAGTCTGCAGAGAGCCTTCAGCCCTGCAGCGCGAGCTCGGCACTCGGGGACCCCACCTACCCCCCACCCGTGGAAAGTAGCNCCCGTGGAGGGTAGTGTCGCAGGGGTCACCTCCCGCTTCCGTGGGTGTGCCTGCCTCTTGGAAGGCGGACCCGGCTGTCGCGGGCTTGAGTTTTAATAGCATGTTTTCCCTTCTGTGTAAAACACGGGAAATAGAAAAGTTGAAGGAAGGAATGAAAATCCCACTCTCCAGAGGGCATCACAGTGCCTTAGGGACCTGGGGCCGGTTCCTCGATGTCCGTGTGGGTGGGCGTTTGTATTTGCTCCATACCAGGGGAGGCGTGCCCCCCGCCAGAGCGTTCCAACCACGGAGCAAACAGGCCAGGGCAGGCAGTTTCCTCTTGCCGAGCACCCAGGTCGTTCCTCATTTTCCAAATCATAAAAACACTTCGACCGATCCCTGGAATTCTTAGAAATGGTGGAATTACAGGCTCAGGGTGATATGCATAGTTTAAAATAAGCCGGGATGTAATACATGCGCAGTGCATTTGCATAACACATTTAGCAGATTAAAGATTAAGATCGCAGAACGTTACACATTTCGAAGGAAGTTCCCCACCCTGGCCGGTGTGGCTCAGTTGGCTGAGCGTCGTTTCCTGCACCGAAAGGTCGCTGGTTCGATTCCTGGTCAGGCCACGTGCCCACGTTGCGGGCTCGGTCCCCAGTGGGGGTGTATATGGGAGGCAACCGATGGGTGTTTTGCTCTCACATTGATGGTTCTCTCTCTCTTTAAAAAAAAATCAATTAAAAAAATTTTTTTTTTAATAGAAAGAAGGTGGCTTTTTTTGTGGAGGTTCTAGTTTGAGGTCTGGCTGCAGCCTCCAGCGGGAAAGGACGTGGAGGGAGTTGGAACCACAGGCTGGACATGAAAGCCTGGGACAGGGAACCCCCGAGCTGAGGGCGGGAGGCGGCAGCCCCGGCCCGAGTGGCTGCAGAGACGTGTGCGTGTCCCAGCAGGGAGCTGAGGTGGACACAGAAGACCCAGGGCCCCCGTAGCCGAGTGAGCCCTGCCATGTGTCCCCAGGGAGCCGGGGCAAAGAAACCCACACAGAAAGAAAACAAATCGGAGAAAGGATGAAGGGGGAGGGTCGCCCGCGTCACGAAACCCAAGGAAACGTTTTGCGCACACAGCTCAGGAAAACAGAGGTTGATGGACTTGCTCTCATTCCGGGCAGCTCAGAATTTTATTTCCTTTTTTTTTTTTTTTAAATCTTCACCCGAGGATATGTTTTTATTGATGTTTAGAGAGAGAGAGAGATGAAGGGAGAGGGAAAGAGAGAGAAACCTCGACGTGAGAAACATCCATCCGTTGCCTCCCACGCGGGCCCGGACCGGGGATCGAACCCGCGGCCTTGTGGTGTACGGGGCACCCCTCGAAGCCACGGAGCCACCCGGCCAGGGCCGTCCGCCCCATTTTCGCACCAACGATTCCTCAGACAACATGCCTGGGGAACACAGTGGTAAGTTGGCGCCCCTGCAGCCACGGGGGGCGCCTGCCAGGTGTTTTGCGACATCCGTCCCGCCCTCAGCCTCCGAGCCGCGTCCTAGGAGGGCTCGTGTCAATACCTAAGAGGCTGCCTTTGAACCGGATTTGAAGATCCGAACAGAGTCCTTGATTTCGGGCACTGAAAGGACGTTTCCGTTTTAGAGGGCAAGATTTAAGGACCAGCCCCCCAGACGGGCAGGCCTTTGGCCATCTGCCATCCCCCGCTTCCCGGCCATCTGCCATCCCCTGTCCTCGGCCTCCACAGCAGGACGTTCTTTCTGGTTTCTTTTTTTTTTTTAATCTATCTTTATTGACTTCAGGGAGAGGAAAGGAGAGGGAGAGAGAGAGACAGAAACATCCATGACGAGAGAGCCATTGATCGAGCCCGCACCCCGGGCCTGTGCCCTGACCGGGAATCGAACCCCGATCGCCTGGATCCCAGGTGGACGCTCACCCGCTGAGCCACGCCCGCCAGGCTCATTCTGGTTTCTGATGGTATCTCCTGCGTCTGCTTAGGCCGGCGGGACGGGGGAGAGAGCAGGATGACACCCTTAGGACGGCGCTCAGGCGGTTGGGAAGTGCAGCCTCCCATCTCCCAGCGGCATCAGCCTCTCCCATCCTTGTCGGCGTTTCTCTCACAGCTGCTCAGCTTTCCCTCCCTCTTCTCCGACCCCCCTCGCGGTTTCTTCTTTCACTCTCGGTCAGCTGTGGCCTTTGAATAACGCTCCTGGTGGATGACACGGGCCGGGGGTTTGGGGAGGCGAGGTAACGTCACGGCCGACTCGGTTCCCGACGCGAAGTGCGCCTGCAGAAGGACAGATGCCAGGCAGCGTCTTCCTCGCCCGGGGCCGGAATGGGGCAAAACAAGCGCAAACGGAGACCCGACTGTTTCAGGTGGCCCAGTGGCTAGAGCGNCCCCCCGCACCAAAGGGTCGTGGGTTCGATTCCCAGTCAAGGGCACTTAACCTGGGTTGTAATTTTGATCCCTACTCCCGGTTGGGGCGCATGTGGGAGGCAACCAATTGATCTCTCTCTCTCTCTCTCTCTCCCTCCTCCTTCCCCTCTCTCCATTCCACTCTCNGGTTGGGGCGCATGTGGGAGGCAACCAATTGATGTCTCTCTCTCTCTCCCTCCTCCTTCCCCTCTCTCCATTCCACTCTCTCTAAAAATCAATGAGGAAATATCCTCAGGTGAGGATTTAAAAAAAGACCCGACTGTTTCCGAGCAGGGAATGCGCCGCACCCCTTAGTCAGTCACCAGGGTTGGAACCGGCGACCTCACGGAGGATCGCGAGCATCTGGGCTTGGGAAGGCCTCTGCGAAGTAGCATTCATCCCCTCCCTAGTTAGAGCTGGTGCTGGAGTGTCTAGACCAGAGGGGCCGGGAAGTCCCCTGGGGAGACACAGGGAAAGAGTGGGTGTTGGGGAACGGGGGGCTAGTGCTGTATTCTGGGTGTATTCGTGTACTAGGCAGCCCGGGTGGCCGTAACTAAGTATCAAAGGCTGTGTGGCTTACACAACAGAAGTTTATTTTTTTTCACCGTTCTGGGGGCTGGAGGTCCGAGATCGGGGTGCCGCCAGGGTCAGGGTCCGGGGAGGGTCTCTTCCTGGCTCTCAGAGTGCCACCTGCTTGCCGTGTCCCCCTGCGGCCTTCCCACGGTGTGTACGCCACGAGAGAAAGATGGCTTTCTCTTTTTCTTCCTATAAGGCCACCAATCCCGTCGTGAGGGCCCCACCCGCACAACCTCATTTAACCCCAATTATCCTCTAAAGATCCTATCTCCAGATACAAGGACAGTGGCCCGTGGGGCCTCAACGTGTGGCTTTGGGAAGGACACAAACATTCAGTCCGTAACAATTTAGTTTTCCATCACGCGGTCGCAAATCCCCGCAAGCTTTACACTCGGCACAACGCCCCGCAGAGAAGGCAGGGGGCTGGGTGACCTGGGGGCGGGGGGCTAGCTCCGCTTTCCCAAAAATAGCGTCTGCAGGCCTCTCTGTGAGTTTGAAATACGCAGCCGCCTAACTCCCAGGGCCAGAGTGGAACCAGGGGCCTGGTGGAGGCTCTTTCCGAAAGCGCCTTCGCTCCTGGGCCCGGGCATGGGTCCCCTCTCGGGAGCGCCTGGGGCCCGGGAGGCCGGCGCGCCCCTGCAGTGGCTGTGGGCTGTGGCCGTGGTGGCCGGTGCTGCGCCTCCCTGCAGCCTGCTCGTGTGTGCACCGCGTCCCAGAAGGGATCCTTCATCAGGCAGGGCGGTCGATGCCGCTTCGATTGTTCCTTAAAGGTTTCCCAGCGTCTCACCTTCCTGCACCATTTGTCTTTCCAGGTGCTGCTGTCAGGACTCATTGGCGTCGTCTCCTGGAAAAGGCCTCTGTCCCTCGTGGTAAGTCGCACCTGCTCTCCGTGGTGGCCTCGGGACAGGGCTGCCTGCAGAGGGGCGAGCGCTTTAAAGGTGAGAATTCAGGCTGCTTTGCAGAAAGGGGAAAGCAGGCCTGGGTCAGCGCCCGGAGGGGTAACCCCGGTGCGGGTGGCCCGTCGCGCTTCCGAGAGCGGCGCTCAGCTGTCTGCCTGAGAGGCTCGCGTGCCTTCCTCTTTCCGTTTGCTGCCTTCCTGTGCCCGCCCCCGAGGACATGCCGTGAACAAAGATATTTTAATAAGTATAGGTGCAAGCATTTTTTGTCTAAACGTGGAAACGTGCATGCATGTAAGCACGCTCACGTGTGATCGCCCAGACGGGACGTGTCTTAGCGGAGGGCAGGCAACGTCAGCTCTCCGTGTGTGTTGGAGACTGTGCACCTCTGTGCCGGTGATGTCCATCGGAGTGGAAGCGTGAAGGAAGGAGCATCGCCCACCCTGGCTAGTGTGGCTCACTTGAGCTCTTGCCTTGCGCCGAAAGGTCGCCGGTTCGATTCCCGGTCAGGGCACGTGCCCGGGTTGCGGCCTCGATCCCCAGCAGGGGGCGCACAGGAGGCAGCCGATCACTGTTTCGCTCTCACATCGATGTTCCTCTCTCTCCCTCTC